TAGCCAGGCCTGGTGGCACGCACCTGTGGAACCCGTGGGGTGGAGGTTGCAGTGACCTGAGATCTTATCACTGAACTCCAGGCTGGGTGACAGAATGAGACTTCATCTCAAACAAACAAACAAAAAACAAAAAACCCCACGTTGTATATTTTATTAATTTATGTCCTTATTCTAGGTTTTTTTTTTTTTTTGAGATGGAGTTTTGCTCCTGTTGCCCAGGCTAGAGTGCTATGGTGTGATCTCAGCTCACTGCAACCTCCGCCTCCTGGGTTCAAGCAATTCTCCTGCCTCAGCCTCCCAAGTAGCTGGGATTACAGGCACATGCTACCACACCTGGCTAATTTTGTATTTTTAATAGAAATGGGATTTCACCTTGTTGGCCAGGCTGATCTTGAACTCCTGGACTCAAGTGATCTGCTCACCTTGGCCTCCCAAAGTGCTGGGATTACAGGCATCAGCCACCTTGCCCTGCCCTGTGCTAGACTTTGTGTGTGTGTGTGTGTGTGTGCGTGCGTGCGTGTGTGTGTGCGTGCGTGCGTGTGTGTGTGCTACACTTTTATACAACGGGATATGCAGGAGGTTGGTTCACACCAGCATATGATGTCACCAGGTGGTAGGAGTTTTTCAACTGCCTTATAATCTTATGAGATCACCTCTGCATATGTGATCTGTAGTTGACTGAAACATTGTTATGTGACACATGGCTGTAATAGTAACAACAGAAGACATGTGTATTGGACGGGTGACAGGCATGCTCTAAGAACTTTTTAATAGAGTGAGGCCTTTAGAATAGTGCCTGGCATATGGTAAGCGCTACATGAGTGTTTATTAAATAAAATTATTGTACATGTAGTAGCTTATTTAATCTTTACAAAATCTTGAGAAGCAGTAGGTACTCATTAGTCTCATGTTTACAGATGAGGAAACTGAAACACAGAGACTTCCAGATGCTGAGAATGTAGGTGAGACAACAGTACAGTCAACCTTGACTTCTTCTCCACCTTCACCTGGCAAACTCCTATGGATCCTTCAAAACCCTACTCCAACATCACCTGCTCTGGAAGCTCCCAGTCGTTGGCCAGGATGAACTCTTAGACCTGGACAACAGGAGGAGGAAGGGAAAGGAGGGCATGAGGGAGGCTGGCTGGGTGGGAAAGGTAGGGGTGAGAGAATAGAGGGATGCAGGCCTTTGGGAGACACCCTGGGTTGGCTCATGGGAAGTGTGTGAGGGGAAGTCCTTGGTCCTTCCTCCCGGCAGAGGCGCCTCTGTCTTGTGGCTTGCCCTGCAAAGGCCAGCTGAGCCTCCAGCTTCCTTGAGGTTGGCTATGTGGTATGCAAGTGAAAAGCCCCTCTCGGGCCAAACTGACCTGATTTGACTCCCGACTCTTGTTCTTACTGGTAAGGTGATTCCAGCCAAGTTATTTGACCTCATATACTTGGCTGCTTATGGAAATAGAAGGGGGATAATTGTAGTATCCACCTTGTAGAATTACCATGAGGCTTCATTGTAAATTCAAGGTACATAGGAAGTGCTCAGTAAATACTGACTTGGATGATCCAAGGCATCTTGGATTCTTGGTGAAGCTGCCCTCTCTTTTCTCTGGATTCCTGCTGTGCTTAAGTCTAAACCGCACAATTCAACCCAACATTTGTGACTGTAACAATGACTTTTTATTAGGTGTTTCTACTGGGCAGGCTGTAGGCCTGGTCCTTTTTACACAGCATCATAAAGACCATCATAACCCCATGGGGTGTATACTAGTAATATGCCCATTTTACAGATGAGAAAATAGAGGCCTCTTTGAAAGGTTAAAATTGTGTCTAAAATTCCACAGCAAGCACATGGCAGAATGAGGATTGGAACCCAGGCAATCTGACCTGGAGCCCATGCGATTCTTTCTAGTTTGTTAGTGTCCCAATACTGATGGATACCTCCTGTGTGCCAGACTCCATGCTAGGTACCAGGGGAATAAAAGACATGCAATCCTGGCCCTCAGGGAACTCACAGCCTGGCATGGGGAACACAGATGTGAAGGAGGAGGGCTGGACCTGATGTCTGCGCTGATCTGCTAGAGGCTGTTTTATTTAATCATATTCTAACGATTATTGGGCATATGGTCGACACAATAAATAATGCTCTCTCTTCCTAAAGACAAGACAGACAGGCTTCTAGAGTGAAAAAGTAGCACACAAAGCACAGCTTTGACATTATTTTTAGGCTTCCAGAAAATCTAAAGTTGTCAAATACAAGCATTACTGACGTAGTGATTAATCGGTTAAGGTTCTTAGACAATCCCTGCACTCTTGGCATACAGAGGGAGGGAACAACTCACTTTGGGCCTTCCTGGAGTAGGAAATATTTGGTTTACGTTTTGAAGTCTATGCAGGAGTTCTCTGTGAAAAGAAGAGAGGCAGATACTCTAGAGGACAAAAATGAGAAAAGCACCCTTGCATATCTGGGGAATGATGGAAATCAAGTAGGGCTGGAGTATTCAGCTCATGAGGGTGGGGATGGTGGTGAGGGGAGGAGGGTGGCTGGGCCTTCTGGGTCAGAAAGAGCCTTGACTGTCATGCTCAATGGTTTGCTGTTTCTCTTACAAGCAGTTGATGTGTGTGATGTGTGTGTGTCTGTGTGTGTGTATGAGAGAGGGTGTGTGTGTGTGTGTGTGTGTATGTGTGTCCCATGGAGATTTTAAGAGAGATATGGGGCTGGGCACAGTGGCTCATGCCTGTAATCCCAGCACTTTGGGAGGCTGAAGCGATGGATGACCTGAGGTCAGGAGTTGAAAATCAGCTGGGCCAAGGTGAAACCCAATTTCTACCAAAAAACACAAAAACTAGCCGGGCATGGTGGTGTGTGCCTGTAATCCCAGGTACTTGGGAGGGAGGCTGAGGCAGGAGAATCACTTGAACCCAGGAGACAGAGGTTGCAGCGAGCCACGATCATGCCACTGTACTCTAGCCTGGGTGACATATTGAGACTCTGTCTCAAAAAAGAAAAAAAAAGGTGGGAGAGATATGGTCAGATTTGTGATTTGTACAAATGACTGTGGCAGTCTGCAGGGAGGCAGGTGGGAGGTTGGTGGCAGGGCTGTCAGTTCTCCAACCAGTCTCTAAGGCCCCTGGGGTCAGCCCTCAGAGCCTGCCCCCACCAGCACTGTCCATGGTGCCAACACACATCATTGCAATCCCAGTGGGCTCCCTGGTGACAGCCTAAGGGTTGTGTGTGTAGTTGGATGGGCAAGGGGACTCTCAATGCCTGTGTGTTGTGATCAAGGGTCTCAGCTGCTCTAGTCTCAGAAGCCCTGCCCAGGTGCCCATGTGTCTGGAGGGCAGATCCCCACTTCATCTGGCCAGGCTTTAATGCATGGAGTTGAGGCAGAAATTGAAGCCAAGCAGAAAGGATGGGGCCTGAGTTGGGAAGACGTGAATACCGCACTTCTGAGTTTGCTTCTATAGAGTGTGACAAGGCCATATTTGTGTTCCAGGAAGATCACTCTGGTGGTAGCAGAGCAGACAGACAGGAAAGGAGAGTTGAGAGTCTCTGAGCCCCACGTGAGCCCCCAGTGCCACACAACAGGACTTTGGAGAAAGAGGAAATACGGTGGGGTTGGAGTAGAATAACCAGGGAGGCCTTGCTGGAGGAGGTAAGACATGAGGGGCTTGGAGGATTCACAGAGGGAGAGAGGCGTGTCAGGCAGGGTGAACAGCATAGGCAAAGGTAGAGAGGTTGGAACCACCTGTAGTTAAGAAAAAGTGGGAAGACTTGCCCTTCTGTACCCAGTGGCCCCCACCTCCTCTCCATGGACCTTCTGAGCAGGGAGGGGGCCTGCTCTGTGACCGAGCTCAGCTGCACCTCTGGGTGTCTCTGGCTGAGGGAGGGGGCAGGCTGGGTGCGGCTTTGAAAGGTCCTTCCATTGTGTGTGAGGCCCAGCCAGAACAGAGGAGGCGGGTGCACAGAGCCCTTTGTCCGCCAAGTTACCCACGACGTGCTCTGGCACTCTCCACGGTCCTCACTGACCTTAGACTCAAGGCCGTGCCATAGAGACAGGTTGTTCTGCCTTGGCTGGCTCTGATGTCACAGTAGAGGGAGGGGACAGGGGCAGGGGTGGACAATGGTGGGATTCAAGGCTGACCAAGGGCTGACAGACTGCCTCTTGCCCTTGAGGTGCAACGAATCACTAATTCATTAAGTTCTTTAACCCCACAAGCTATAGAATGATGGAACCTTCCAGTACCTGAGAATCCCAGAATAATGGACTCTTTCTAAGATCGTGGAAACTTTCACAATAGACTCTGTGGGAATCAGAATTCTATTCTATAGAATAACAGAATCTTAAAAATCATAGATTTTTAAAATATCTGCCTTCTGGGTTTGCTGTGAGAATAAAATGAAATAGTACATGGAGGACGGGTGTGGTGGCTCATGCCTGTAATCCCAGCACTTTGGGAGGCCAAGGTGGGCTGATTATGAGGTCAAGAGATTGAGACCATCCTGGCCAACATGCTAAAACCCCGTCTCTACTAAAAATACAAAAATTAGCTGGGTGTGGTGGTGCATGCTTGTAGTCCTAGCTACTCGGGAGGCTGAGGCAGGAGAATTGCTTGAACCCGGGAGGTGTAGGATACAGTGAGCCGAGATTGTGCCATTGCACTCAGCCTGGTGACTCTGATTCAGAAAATAAAAAAATAAAAAAAATAGAAAAAAGAAATACTGCATGGATCGCACATAGAATAAGCCTGGAATGTTGTAAACGCTCCCTAAGTGTCAGCTCTTTTCCCCATTTTGAGGAAACCCAGGCCCAGAGAGGTGATGTGACCTGTCTAGGAACACACAGCTAGGAGGTGGTGGCACAGAACATCAATGGCTTGGAGGGAGCCCCGGTGGCCGGAGGGCCTCTCACGCTGAGTCCCTCATGGCCAAGCCAGCAGGTCTGTGTCTGAATTCAGGTCTCCAAGGTGGGGGTGAGTGTGGGAGGGTGAGAGCTGGGGGTGAAGTGGGAGACCGGAAGAGGGGGCCAGGGCTCCACTGGTCCCTGTGTAATCTCTCTGGGCCTCAGTTTCTCCCTTTTTTTCTTTTTTTTTTTGAGATGGAATTTTGCTCGTTACCCAGGCTGGAGTGCAATGGCGTGATTGTGATCTTGGCTCACTGTAACCTCCGCCTTCCAGGTTCAAGCAATTCTCCTGCTTCAGCCTCCCAAGTAGCTGGGACTACAGGCATGCACCACCACACCCAGCTAATTTTTTGTATTTTTAGTAGAGACAGGGTTTCACCATGTTGACCAGGATGGTCTCAATCTCTTGACCTTGTGATCCACCCTCCTCAGCCTCCCACAGTGCTGGGATTACAGGCATGAGCCACAGTGCCCCAGCCCCTTTTTAAAAGAGAAATAGTATTTCCCTTCCTACTTCCACCCCTGGGGAGTGGTGAGGCTGCCACCCTGGTTGGGCTGCCCTGTGTGTTCCTGAGTAAGTGACATCACTTCTCTGAGCCCATGTCTTCACTGGTGCAATGGGGAGAATAAGGACTGAATCAGCATGAGGATTGACTTGAGGAGCTAATACCCTTTGAAGCAGTGTTAAGCAGACGCTCTGTACATTTGGCTCGCAGCTCTGTTGCTCCACAGGTCAGTGATTGGGGTAAGTCTTATAACCTCCAGTTACTTCAGTTTCCACAGCTGCAACATGGAAACACCAGGAATGCTCATTTAGATGATATGGGTTAATACAAGTGGAGTGAGCACTTAGAACTGTTCCTGGCAAGTGGAAGTGTTTAGCAGGCTGCCACAATCATTGTTTACCACCTAAGGCTTAGTCATTGTGAGCAATTATTATTAATGGTCAGCAAAGAGCTTGCAAAGTGCTGCATAATTGTGTGTGTGAGCACCTGCGTGTGCATGTGTGTACAACGGTGCTTATTAAAAGCAGAGCCTTCGGCCCAGAGTTGAGCCGTGTGCCTGGAATTGCTGCTGCTTCTGGCGGCCTCCCCAGGGACTGGAGTGTAATGAGTGTTTGCAGAACCCCCCGCCAGGCAGAGATGAGAGGCACAGAGGAGCCAGCGCTGGAGCCAGGCGGCGGCTGGGAGCCCAGTGTTATTATATTAATGAGAATCAGGGTGATGATTACTATTAACGAGATTAGTCACCAGGGGGCCTCCCCACTTCCCCAGGCTTTGCCTATGACAGGGGAGGCAGGCAGGCATTCTTTGCACCCACCTCTGTCTTCTCTGTCTCAGGAGAAGGGGTGAGGATTCCCTGGTGCCAGACATGAAGCCAATCCCCTTAGAGCCTTGTCTCACTATATCTTTCCAAGCCCCTGGGATTACATATTGGCACACCCACTTTACAGATGAGAAGTCTGAGCCTCAGCCTCTTTCTGACCTGGAAAAAGGTATTTTTATTGCCCCTTCATGTTACCTGCAAACATGTATGGTGAACCGAGCCCTGGAACTTTACATGGATTAATCTTTTAGTCTTCACAACAATCCCATGAGGACAGTGCTCTTGTTAACTCCTCCACATGGGGAAACTGAGGCACAGAGTAGTTAAGTAACTTGCCATCTGTATCACAATATCTCCTGCCTTCCAGCAAGCCCCTCTCTCTCCAGCAGTCAAAGTGAAGGTGTTATTTTTCAACCCTTTGTTATTCTCTACATAGCAGACCACACCCAGGGCTCTGCTGTCAGATGCTTGTGGGCAGTTTTATGCTTGTCTCTTGTCCCCACAGACCCCTCAGTCAGGCCACCTTTGGGCATAGATGCTTAGTGCCACCTGCCATGCAGAGCTGAGGCTGCCACCTACTCACTCATGCCACAAACATTATCCTGGCCCTTCTTGGGGCCAAAATGTCAATCCTTTTAGATACATTCTAAGAAGTCAGGTTCTCATTTAACTTGTAGTGGACAGCTACTCTGTCCAGCACTGTGCCTGGCTGGGGACTCAACAATGGGAGAGACAGACCTGACCCTGTTCTCATGGAGCTCCCAGTCTCGTGGACAAACTAGTACATGGCATATACGTAGTGACAGTTGTTCTGAGTGCTTCAGAGGAAGGACGGTGGTCTGTGGACTGTGCGGGGTGTGTTGGTGGGGGGGAGAGTGCTGTTGGAGTGAGGGAGGAGTGAGGCAGGGAAGGGCTCCCTCAGGAGGTGAATTTAAATGAGAAGTAAAGGCGGAGCAGGAGCTAGACGGTAACCAAAGGGAAGAGCATTTCTGGTGGAGGGAACTGCATATGAGGAGGTGAGACTCCCAGGGGAGTCTTGCCGGCCTAATCAGCACACCATCAATGCTCAGGTGTCTCCCCAGGCCCACAATCATTCATTCAATCAATCATCACTTATCTAATTTAAATAGTTCGTTTACGCATTTTTTCATTCATTTATTCTGTATTTCCTAATGCCCATCCATTTCAGGCTTGATATTGGGTGGGGGGACCCAGAATTGAATCAGTTGCAGTCTCTGTCCTGAGGTTGCTTCCAATCTAGGGTGGGAGATGAATTCTTCCTTATACATGACACCATGTCATCAATGGACACGAAGACTCTTCCTCTAGACTGGGGTGGTGGTCAAGAAGGGCTTCCCAGAATAGAGGTCATTTGAGCTGAGTCTGTTTTTTTGAGACAGTCTCACTCTGTCGCCCAGGCTGGAGTGCAGCAGTGTGACGTCTTCTCACTGCTGCCTCTTGCCTCCCAGGTTCAAGCGATTCTCATGTGTCAGCCTCCTGAGTAGCTGGGATTACTGGCACATGCCACCATGCCCAGATAATTTTTGTATTTTTACTAGAGATGGGGTTTTGTCATGTTGGCCAGGCTGGTTTCAAACTCCTGATCTCAGGTGATTCACCCACCGTGGCCTCCCAAAGTTCTGGGATTATAGGTGTGAGCCACCACACCTGGCCTGAGCTGAGCCTTTATAAATGAGCAGGCACTGAGTCTTTATAAATGAGCAGGCACTAGGCTTTATAAATGAGCAGGGAGGTAGAAAGAGGGAGGTGGGCAATGGTGCACAGCATGAGCAAAGATATGAAGGACTCCAAATGCTAGGCTGAAGCAGAGACTGATGGCTTTGTAATGGTAGCTGTTTTTCCTTTCATAGCAATAACACACGGCAGCTTGGAAGAAAGACTACATTTCCCAGCCTGCTTTGCAGCTAGGTGGAGCCATGTGACTAATGTGGCCAATAGGATGCGAGTAGAAGTGTAGGTTTTCCCCCTTGATCACGTAAAAGATAGTGCTGTGTCTGCCCCGTTCCTTTCCCCTTGCCATTGGCGGAAGGTGCACGCTGTCCCATCTTGAACATGTGAATGAGGGCAACACGGAATGACTACAGCTTAACAAGACGGAAGGAACTTGGATCCGCTATGCCAAGGAGCACCAGCCATTAATGGTTGATATGTAAATGATTATATGAGGGATAAATAAACTTCTCTCTCCTTTAAGCCAGAGTTATTTTGGGTCTCTGCTTTAGAAGCTCATCCTATATCCTAGCTAATAACCAGACTAAAGGCTATTATCTCCTAGGGCACAGGGAGCTGTTAGAGTTCTGTGGGGAGGGTAATGACATTGTCAGATTTGCATTTTTGGAAGCTCTCTCTGGCCACAGAATGCACGATGGGAAGGAGGGGATAGAAACTGGAGGCTGAGAGACCAGAGCAGGGGTTGATGCTTTCAAATGTGGCAGAGGTACCCAAGCCTGACCCAGGACAGGCCAGCCCTATTGGTGCCTGCTAACAGAGGGAGGGCCAGGTTCCCTACCCAGGCCTAAAGCCAAGCCTTGTGTGCTGCCTGCAGCCACTGTCTCTTCCCATTACTTCCAGAGCTTTCAGCCTTCAATATAACCCAGAGGCCCCTCTTGTGAAATCTGAACTTCAGCTGTTACTAGAGCCCAGGACCACCCCTTCTGGGGAGGGTTGGTGATGCAGGGCTGAGAGCGGGAGGCAGGGGCTCTGGAGGATGGATGTGGGGAAGAAGGAGAGGTAGGTGGGACAGAGCCTATGGTGGGGAGGGGGCTGGGTAGGTGATGATGATGGGGCAAGGACAGATGGGAGACAGAATGAAGAAGGGGTCTGCTAGTCAGGTCTCTTCTAGGTTTTGGTACCAGATCAAACCAGAATACATGAAAAATGGGCTGCACTGGGCCAAGGGTGGTGACTCATGCCTGTAATCCCAGCACTTTGGGAGGCCAGATCATGAGGTCAGAAGTTCGAGACCAGCGTGGCCACCATGGCGAAACCCTGTCTCTACCAAAAATACAAAAATTAGCCAGATGTGGTGGCTGGCGCCTGTAATCCCAGTTACTTGGGAGGTTGAGGCAGGAGAATTGCTTGAACCTGGGAGGTGGAGGCTGCAGTGAGCTAAGATCAGGCCATTGTACTCCAGCCTGGGAGACAAGCGTAAGACTCTGCCTCGAAAAAAAAAAAAAAAAAAAAAAAAAAAAGGGCTGCCCAGGCTCTCACCCTGGCAGGAACAGGATGGTGGTGGCTCAGGCACACCTGGATCAGTTAGGACCTTACCCTCTCCACTCTGTTGGCTTCTGTCTCTTCCATTCCAGGCAGCCTCCCTCCACGCCACGGGCGGGAGGTAGACATGGCCACAGGCAGTTTGGGGTCACATTCTGTCAGTTTGTCAGACAGGAGACCCACAGCCTCTCTCTTCCAGCAGCCACATGTAAAATCCCAGGGGTCCTAGGATTGTGCCCGCCACAGGTAATAAGGGAGAAGAAAGTTCTCTAAGAGAGGAAGAATTTTTCTGTTACCTAGAGAATAGGGATAGGGTTTCTGGGTGGCCAACAGCCATCAATGCTGACTGTACCTATGGAATAGAATAGGGGACTCATGGCAGGATGGCAGACAATGGCTGGAGATGGGAGGAATGATGGGGAGGACCTGGTCCAGGGAGAGGCTGATAGGTGCATGAGGTGTGACCTTTGAGCACACTCCAAGACACGCCCTGCCCCCTCTTCCTCTCTCTGGTCTTCTGGGTCTTATTTATTTATTTATTAGAGAAAGGGTCTCACTCTGTTGCCCAGGCTGAGTGCAGTGCCACAACCACAGCCCACTGCAGCCTTGGACTCCTGGGCACACATGGTCCTCTGGCTTCAGCCTCTCTAGTAGCTGGGACCACAGGCATGCACCACACCGCCTGGCTAAATAAAGAATATTTTTTGTAGAGTCAGGGTCTTGCTATGACTGGTCTTGCCCAGGCCGGTCTCCAACTCTTGGGCTCAAGCGATCCTCTTGCCATGGCCTCCCAAAGTGTTGAAATTATAGGCCTGAACCATATCCAGCCTAGGCTCTTTTCTAAAGCCTCTGTCACTGCCTCTGGGAAGTCCTTCCTGATCTCACTCCCATCCAGCAGGGCTGGTTGCTCCTTCCTCTGGGCCCAGTGTTTCTGCTGAGGCCCTCTCTTCAGGTACATCTCACTCTGCACTCCAGTGAGGGACCCGTATAGCTACATCCTAGGCTGGGAGCCCTCGGGCGTGCGCTGCCTGCCTTTGGTTACCACCTCCCACTCTGGCCTTCCTCCCTGGGCTTTGGTCCCATCAGCTTTTGGGTGTCTGCATGTGTCTCTGTGTATGTCCTTGTGTGAAGGCATGTTTGTGTGTGTGTGTGTCTGTGCTTACGGGCATGTGTCTGTGTATACATATACATCTATGTACCCAGAAGACTGTGGATGTGTGGTGTGACTGTGACTGTGGATGCTTGAGTATATGCATATGTATCTGTCTGTGTGTCTGGGTGGGGTCTTTGTATATGGATTGTGTGTGCCTGCCTCAGTGTGACTGTGTATAGGAAGGTCTGGGGTACTCCTCCCGTCTGGGACTTAGTAATATTGAGGTGTACACCCACAAACACATGCAGATCCACACAGAGTTACAGATCCACATGAACACACACACACACACACACACACACACACACACACCCACACCTGTCTCCCATCACCCTGCCCAGGGCTGGCTCTGGATGGGGCTACCCTCCAGATGGCTGGCTGGGGTGGATTCCCGGGGTTTCCCCTCCCCACATGAAAATGTTTTCCTGTGCCCAAACAGTGGCTAAGAGCCAGCCTCACCCTGCAACTTCTATTTCCACTCCTGAGGCCACACCTCTGACAGCAGGATAGCAGTCTGGCCCTGCAGGACAAAAGTTTTGGAAAACAATGAGGCATTGGAGCCTCATCCAGCTGTCTTCCCTCTCAGAAAGCACTCCACGAGCACCGCAGTCTTCTAGCCAGGGCATCGTAGGGCCACCATGATAGGTATTTACATTACTATACCCTGCAGGTGCTGTGGGGCACACCCACAGGGTGGGGAAGGCAGAGGGAATGGCCCATCATTTATCAGGTAGATCCTGACATACCCCCAAAAGTTTATTCATTGCTGTGTCCCCAGCTCCTAGTGCAATGCCTGGCACATAGTAGATGCTCCATAAATGTATGTGGAGTGAATTAATGAAGGAGGGCATTACTAGTCCATCTCACAGACATGGAAACTGAGGTTCAGAGAGGCAATCTATTCAACAGTGACCAAGGGACAGAGACAGATCTGGAACCCAGGAACTGTCAGAGTATTGAGCCCCACTTTGTTGCACTGTATGTCAGGTTTACTCAAGCTGAATGGGTGAAGTGTGAGCTCACTGCTGGGGACCTGGAGGTCATCCATACCCATCTTCACTGCTTATTCTAAGTCTCAATTTCCCCATCTGTACAATGGGTTCAATGACAGCATATCAGGTATGAAGTCACAACATTGATGCATAAGAAGTGTAACTTTCTTTTTAATTCTGACCTGGATTTCTATTTTGAGCCCCCATTTTGCTGAGTGTAGCAGAAACATAATCTTAATCATTTTGGGATCTTCTACCTGGGGATTATGTCTAAGTTGGGGAGTTTGGGCAGAGAAGCTTTTGTAGTGGCAGGCACTGGGGTTGGAGCTGGCCCCCGTTGAGATGCTACCCCTCCTTTGTGGCTGGCACTCAGAGTCACAGCTACACTGACTTTTGTTCCATCCCAAATCCGTCCAGCTCCAGCTCTCTCAGCCCCTCCCAGGTGCATTGAGTTTGTTCTGGACCTGGGTGTATGCTCCAAGTTGAGCCCCAGCACTTAGCAAATGTGACCTTGGCGATTCTCCTAACCTCAGTTTTCTTATCTATAAAATGGGAATAATAATTGCACCTGCTTCGCAGGGTTGCATCATCAGAGTAAATAAATTAATCCACAGCGAATGCTTAAAACAGCACCAGACACACAGTCGCTGCTCAATAAATGTGATCTTAGCTCTTACAGTACCTGTCCTGTTCTGGGAGGCCCAGCTCAGGATGGGGCGGGGGCAGGGCCCCTGCTCTCAGGTCACCTCTACACCTGCTAACTAATGAGGACATCCATCTAATGAGGACAGACACGGTCACCCAGGCTGGGGACTGTCCTGGTGATGAGACAGCACAGGCGGGTGGTCTGCACACATGCAGGGCTGCAGGCGCCATAGCAGGGCCTCAGCCCACAAGCCCCTGATCAGTAGCCAAGTCAGAGATAGCTTTCTCTCTGCGGACCACCTCCAGGTGCTCCCTGCCACCCTGCCCAGTCTGTGGTGCTGGAGGAGGGTTTCTTCTGTACTAGCCTGACCCTGTTCCTGCCCTGCTCCCATCCCCTTCCATGTGCCCCTTCACCTGCCAGGGTCCCAATCAGAAACTTTAGTGTGGCCTTCAGGGCCCTTCACAACCAGGCTTCAACCTGCCTTCCCACCTTCTCTCCTTCATCTGTACCCAGCATCCACTTCCTGTGGCCCCATGTCTCACTCCTTCCAGACTCCACATCGGTGCTGTTTTCCTGCCTGGACTGGGGTCCTCTCCTCCACCTGTGCCTCTTAAAATGTAGCCTCTCCTTGGAGAGCCCTGGCTGGAGGTGATGTGTGCAGCCACGAGCAGGCAGGCTCAGCCGTGGGAGGAACAGAGGCAAGGGTCAGGCGGGACCTCCTGAGAAAGATGCTTGGGGACAGCTGCAGCAACAGGCAAGAGGACAAGCAGACATGGAGGTGGGTTGGTGGTGTGCACTTGAGGGCTGCTGTTCAAGAGGCAGGAAGGCTATAGAGTTGAGAGCTCCAAGCCAGACGCAGTAGGTTTGAGGAGTGCTGTAACTTTCTAGCTGGTGACCCCAGGCAAGTAGCTAAACCTCTCTGAATCTGTTTTCTCCTTTAGATAAGAATAGGTGATAAGAGTAGGTGCAACCTCACAAGATTGTTATCAGGACAGAATGAGATATTTGTTTGGTGTCTACACAGTGCCTGGCATATAGCAAGTGCTCAATAGATATGAACTGGGCAATAGATATCAGCCTGGGCAACATGGCAAAACCCTGTCTGTACAAAAAATGCAAAAATTCGCTGGGCATGGTGGTGTGCACCTGCCTCGTGCTTGGAAGGCTGAGGTGGGAGAATCGCTTGAGC